ACGATGCAAGGACAAGTTTGACATTCATTAATTTGTATTGCTGGTTTTGACGTCTCTCATGTTTTCGTCATTTAGTAACGTACATTTATTAGTCTATTGAGGTGTGTATGCGACTTTTTCTACCATATTATTCTGTTTTCTTAATTCTGTGATTTTCTTGTATTTATTCAGCGTGGCTGAGGATGATAGCAATCGACGATCGAAACGTACCACAATAAATGAACAATTTCATTTTATTAAGTTTATTTATTTTACTGCCACTAACTGCAGTCCAAAGGCAGGAAGGTCTACCTATATTTTAATTTATTATTTTACTGCCATTTTTCCAATCGAATATATTAATCTCAAAAATTCACAAAGTTATTATAATTAATAAATAAGATCTTTTATCCAACATAAATTGATCGAATCCATGGTAACCTACTCTATTTGACCCAAACTTATAAGATATTAACATAATTAGAACTCTTAAAAAACACAATAACCAATTAAACCTAACTTTAGAAAAGTTTAAACTTATTGGAGTGAAAAACATGAATAATAAAATTAATTTTATCATAAAACTGTGATAAATTTATTAAAGAATATTTAAAATATATAAAATATATAATATTTAAAATATATTATAAAATAATATAGCATTTCTATAATATTGTACAATTAAAACCAACATTGATATACCTAAAACTCTTTCCCACAACCTAAAACCTAAATAATAAATTAAATAAAAATCCAAATCCATAGATAAAAGTTCTAGACCTATAATCAAAATTATATTTAATACTATTAGCTCAATCAGTAACAAAACAATTAATATATATTTATAAAACAGTAGTAACATACTTAAAAAAACAATTAAAATTATTAAAAAAAAAAAGTATAAAATATCACCTAAAATGTATTTTAAAACTTTTAAGTAAAGATTTATAGTTTGAAAAAAACTACAATTTTGTAAATTGTAACTAAATAAGTTAGTTTTAACCTACCAAAAATAATAAAAAGCAAAAAACTAATAGTTTACACCTTTAATCCTTAAAATTAATCTTTGTAATTTAAAATTTTTTTTTAAATTAATAACACAGCCACACACAAAAAAAATTTCTTTGGCCTGGGGATCAGACCATGTTTATTATATGTTTTTGGGGTCGCTGAATCCGAATCCGAGGTCCATTAAACCCCATCGGGTCGGAGTTCCGCCATAACCTCAAAAAACACCATAATCTGAG